TGTGTGATTGAATTATTAGGGTTTTGGTTTCTAACATCCCTTGAGTGTTTTCCATGGTTCTAATCTCAATCTAATCATCCCGTCGATGGATTTGATGATTTGGGTAAAAAGCTCCATGAACCCTAGAAATCCAAATTGGGGATTTCTTGTTTATATGTTAAACTGGAATAGATTATATGACCTAGATGTTGTTTGATGACAATGAATCCAATTGGAATACTCAAACACATCAATGATGGTAGAATCATGTATAAGTTAGGGTTGAAATTGATTTGGAGACAATATGATGAAATCAATGGAATCCTTCGTAATTAAGCAATTGATGAGTAAAGGAAGTTCATAATCATGAATGGATACTCTTGGAATGATTTGAATGCAAATACATAAAGGATTGAATGATCTCCACATGAATTTATGGAATATCTAGCCATAAGGGTATTTTGGGAAATCTAGTGATAACTACATGATAGTTGTCATATTAGAAGTGAATGACATTCATGAACATGAATTGACACTCTATATATGTTATTGGAACATTAACATGAAGGATTGCTAGTGAAGTTCTAGCTCTAATGATTGTTTTGACCCAAGGGTAATTTGGGAACATGGAATGGAATTGAGGATTTCATAGTTGGATGAAGTACTTGCAATGAAATAAATTGTGGTTCTATGTACTTAACAACACCCAATGATGTATTAAATGATTTGGGAATAAATCATATTGGTTCAAGAGTGTTTTTGAACAACCTGAGCTCTTAACCCTTTCATTTGAGTGTTTGTAAACATTCTGAACATAGCACTTTGATAGAGGACTTGATGAATTAAGTTGAATGTTTTGACATGATAAAATGCCCTCTAGTAGTGCTTGGAAACCTTTAAAAGTGTTACAATTGGTTACCTAAAAGATCAAAACCATCCAAACAAGTTTAAGACTCAAAAAATGAGTTCTTGGGGGTGTTTAGGCTGCTACGGCATGCGACCCGCATGGCCAGGCACGCGGCTCGCGCACAGGCATCAGATTTCCCAGCTCGACCAAAAATCTGAATTTTAGTATTTTCTTCATAACTTTTGCATACGGACTCGGATTTACGCACGATTTTCGCCTACATTCATAGATTTCATAAGGAAAGGTTTGAAGCATTAAAATTTAGTAATGGAACCCTTGAGGGGTATTTTGGTCATTTTAATGACGTGTGTCCATATATGGTGTATGTAGTGTTTGAAGAGGATTGCTCTAGGGAAAGGAACTAGAAGAGCACTAGCTAACCTGCGTGTGATTGAAGTGAGTACGTGTTGGATTTTTTCCCTATTTGGGGTACATGGAAAAATGAATTTTTGATAATGAAATGCAATGCTTTGATGTATGAAATGTTTTGAAATAAAAGTGATAGATGTTTTTGAAAATAATGTTTTGAAAGAATGCCTTGAAAGTAAGAATGTTTTGAAAGTAAAGAACATTTTGGAAGAACAAATGTTTTGATAACGTATTTGAAATGAGTATTTTGATACTGAAATATGAAATATGTAAATCATGGAAAGTAATGAAAAGAATTGGAAAGTAATGAAATGAAAACTGTCTGGGCCATGATACCTCATAAAAGGCACTAGAGGAATCTACTGGGGCGGTACCTTCCCCGTTGCGAAGTAGATGTCCTAATAGAAATGATGCCTTGATGGATTGATTTGTTATTTCCACCTTGTTCTAGATTTGGGAGTGATTCATTTATTGCACATAGACCTAAGTATAAAAATGACAATGGTTTAACACCGAAATTAGCTCTTAATGAAAGAATGAATGAAATGTGAAAAAGAATATCTTTTAAATTATCCTATGACTAATGAAATGTTTTGATATGGAACGAATTGTGGAAAATGTATTTTTAAAATATGTTTTGTAAAGATGAAATGTTCTTAATGAAAATGTGATAAATGTTTTGGGTCACAAACCTGCATAGCTCATGAGACATTTTTGTCTAGTATCTCTTTTTAATGTCATGTATCCCAGGTTGCAATTAAGGAGAAAATATGATAAATGGAAATAGAATTTATGGGATATAGATTGGAGTGGAACTTGTTAAGTTCCTTATTTATTGTATTGATGTAATTCTTATTTGCTTTCTATGGTTTGTATGATGCTTAATGGTAACACCAAATGTTTTAAGCATAAGTGTTTTTGTGGGACCAGTTTTTGTTAAATGTGGGTTAGTACTCATAATGATTTTGTTAAAATTATAGCATTTTAAAGTTTGAAAATTTTGAAAAAATTTGGGGTGTTACACTGAATATCAGATTGGTCTCATTCTGGGGTAGAGTGTGAGATCAGAGCGGAGTGTAGTAGTCCTCCTCTTTTTGGATGACCATAAATTGTGGGTCCAGATCAGACAACTGGCAAGTATGTAAGGGTCGTCGACCATAGTAGATGACAACACTTGACTATTCTCGACGGTCTAGTGAATTACGTTGCTAGTGTGAACTTATAACCTACAGACGTAGATAAAATAGGATACCATATTTATTAAATACTTTGTACATTGGTTTCCTTAACATGAATTACACTGGCCAAGGAATCCCCTAGTTGTGCAGTCAAACAGTTGCTCAGACGATTCATCATGGAAGGTTATTCTTCCAGATGATCATCGAATTAGGATTTGTGAGAATCGATTTGGCAGGGTAGGTGATCTTACCTCAGGTTATATACACATATAATGTTTGTATGCTAGAATGTTATTATTTATTATCATTAAAATATTATGGACTTGAAAACCCTATACATCTCACCAAGTTTCCCAAACCTGACCCACTCAATTTATATGCATCACAGGTAGCAGAACTAAGGCTATTGGAAACTAATTAGGATGTCGAGTGAAATAAGAGATGTGCATGTAATAGTATTTCAGGACCTTTTCAGTATTTTTACATTGTAACCTATGTTTGAATATTAATGGTGACATCAATGGTATTTTAATAAAATGAAATAACTTATGTTATCTCAAATTGTTTTAATTAAACTGAGATTTTCCATAACAGAATAACTTAAAACGTAAAGAAAAAGTTTTAATCGGTTATGAAAATTAGGGGATGCCACACTTTTCATCCAAAATATACATCACATCTGATATGCTAATTAAAATTTATAGTAATTAATTATTATTTCCCAATAACTCATGAAATTTACTAGTATAATTTAACCATGAAAATTATCACCCAACAACACTGTCAAGACTAACCAATATATCACTATTACCATAACCACTCGTTTGGGAATCCTCCGTCCAAAGTAAGTATCTCACGTTCATTTCCCATTTCATGTGTCAATTATCACTTGAACTTATTTCATCAAGCCAAAATGTTCTGTTACTTCAACAATACATAATATAACAATATTACAATATATTAAATTCTCACATTTACGTAACAATACACATCCATAAACATCTGGTGTTAGAGTGGATTTACTCATCTGGTTAAGTTGGCAGACTCATTCTAACTTCAGTTCCCGACCTACTCTACCTTCCAGCTCGTCACATGCCAACACTTAACAAACATTTATCAAATTCCTCAGAACCTGTCATAATTCACTACTAGCTACCGTTAGTGACTATTTGTCACCAAACTCACTATACTCGATAACACAACCGCAACAGGCTTAACCTGTAAGCCATTAGCTAAATCTACCACATTGGGTAACTCTAGTAAATTAGAGTTTATAACCCTCACCGTCCCAACTAAATATATTACCGTAAGTTTTATTTACAAATCTCACCAACAGGTTCGTAACAACACCATATTACTAATTCTCGTAACACAAACTCTTGTCCAACAAATCTCGACAAGTATCACATAATATAATTACACAACAACGGGGTAAAAGATACCTCAAAGAATCCCGTAACTTGACCCCGTATCTCCCGTACACCGGTACATCTTTCCCGTATAAGCTTCCGATAATACATCTTAAGCCACTCCCCCGACCGTGTGTGCCAAAATCCTCCAAACGATACAAAAACGCATATATGTATAGTTGTGTGCCGCCACGTCGTGGTGGTCAATTGGCCACGCCGTGGTGATGAGGCGGTTGCCGACTTTGCCACGTATTTCGTCCTTCTGCCATGTCTTCTTTAACATTCGACATGTGCCTCGGTGACTCACTCACTACCACACCGTGGTGACCTAAGAGTTGACCGTTTAACTTTGACTTTCATTGACTTTCTCAAAATAACAATGTACTTTCATCTCAACTTCAAACGACCGTAACTTTGTTATATGAACTCCATTTTGACGATTTTTATATACATGGAATTGTCTCAAGGTGAACTATCACTTTCTTCCACTAACTCATGTCCATTCTTACATAAAAGTACATGTTTATGAAAACCATGTCTTACACTGCCCAAACGAATATCACCCAAAATAGTCAAATAACAGTGGATGACTAAACATGCATTCTAGCCTATCACCCAAAATAGTCAAATAACAGTGGATGACTAAACATGCATTCTAGCCTGATCTCATATTCATAAGCAACACAAGGTCAACAAGCATACTTCTTTTAACATACATTATGATTTCAGAAAAAAAAAAAAATGAGTACTTCGGGGGACAGGGGAAGATAATGGCGCAGAGGGGTCGATGGCACTTCTTGTCTTAATTGAATTTTAAGTCTCTTCCAATTAAAATATGCTATTTTAACCACCCAAACGTTTTCAATGTTTAATGGTTAAGAGAAAATATTTTAATTGAATGGTTAAGAGATAAAACAAACACCTTTTTAGCCATAAAGACTACGTCCAATGAATTTCAAAATCAAAGACCATCTTTGCAATGAATTTCTCGTAAGACCAACCTCGACAATATTCTAGAAATATGTTAGTTTGCTGTTAAAAAATGTAATTTAATTTAATTTAATTTAATTTCATCTGATCATTTTATGTCATTTGGGCTTACCCGCAGTTCAAGCCCGGCAAATTATACCCTGAATCGGTGATCCGAATACAACAGAACACAAACACAAAGGCAGCAAGAACATGGCGCCTTTCATTTCAAATTAACCTCTTCTCCTAATCAGACATCCATAGTCCAATTGATTCCCCTTCCAATCTTTCGAATTTGGAGTTCATAACCGGAGACAAAGATGATCGTAAGAACGCCTTTACCTAAGAAACGAAAGCCTGAAACGACCGGCAATTCGGAGAGCCCTAACTCTGATGGCCATTTGGTGATATTCGAGGACTTGCCGGTGCCGGAACCCTCACACCAACATTCCGATCAGATGATGTGCACTTACCAGTGTCGGCAAATGGTAGTACTTTTTCTATTACTTTACTACTGATCCGTAAAGCTCATCTATCAATTTGCGATGCATTGATTCGATTTTATGTGTTACTCTCGTTACCCAAATCGAGAGATAGAGAGATAGTTTGGGTCGGACGTAGTACTTTTCAAATTCAAAGGATTTGTGCGTTTTTTGTTTTGATTTTTACTAAACTTTAGCGTAGTCCTGTTCCCAGGGATTTGGCCCCTTTTTGTTGTAAGTACCTCCATACGTGGCGTAGTATAAATACTTTGATACTTCTTATAGATTTTGTATTTTTTATCAAATGTTTGTTTCACACCTAAAGGTGAAATTACTTTAACGGATGGAGCAATAGATTGTCACAAATCTTTTTTACTTTTGCACAGGTTTTACTTGTAACTGCTAATTGCTAATTTTCTGCTTTTCATCTTTTGGGTGTAACACCTGTTGCCATTACAGGTCAAAGCAGATTTCTTAGATGCTTTGAGTAGTGCAGAGAAGCAATCACAAAACTACCATTCCAAACTTGAGGCAATGAATGATGACTTATTGAAATCTGGTGAGTAATAAACTCAATTCTAATGTTGTTGAATGCCTACCTACATTTCCTTCGTTCAATGCTTTTGGCACATACAACATTCTTTATTGTTTCGTAGTGGTTGCTGTTGTTTTTTTTAACTATATCACTTTTTAGCCCACCACTTTTCATTATCATGTCTTTGAGAATTTACATTTACAGCCTTAGTTTAAGAGTGACTTTCACTTGCTGCAGAAGCTGAAAGGATGAAATTTCGCGATCAGATTCTATATGCAGAACAAGAACTAGCTGCTGCAAGAGGGCGTGAAGAGGCTCTGCAAGACCAGCTTTTGAAAGAGATAAATGAATCTCAAGAACGACTAAGAAAGCAAATCCATATCCATAGTGAACTTGAGGTTTAATATTAAACCATAACTATATCAATATGCTTATTTTTCATTCAAGTTTAAGTTCCTTGTATAAGGGGCTGTACCTTTTTGTCTCATGAAGTTTTGTATGGGTAAAATGGCTGATGGGTAATGATGTTTGTATGGATAAAGTGTTGTCTACATGAGGTCTTTTTTCTTTTCTAGACTGAATAAACCGTATGAATGAGACTAAATTATCATTTTACTGTTACATTCCAAAAATCAAACTTAACCATACTCGTCAGTTTTATCTGGAAAGGAGTTTTGGAGTAAAAAAGAAGGGCAAATAGGTAAAGGGTTAGTGTTTTAATACATTAAGCTAGGTTTTTTTTGGCTTAACCCGTTAAGTCACTCTATCCAGATTTAAGTCAAAAAAGAAATAACTATGTATAGCCATCCAGATTAAGTGCTTATCCATTAAGCCCATTAAGTAAAAAAGAAACATCCCCTTGGACTCCCTAATTATTAGTTGATGTTTTTGTATAGTCTGCAATCTTGATATTTCTCTGATTCTCTTCTTTTAGGTCAAATTTAGGAAAGAGATGGATCTTCGCAAAAAAGCAGAATCTTTGTTATCCTCAGCTGAAGAAAAAGCAAGTCTTTTAGAGGGGAAATTGAGCCATGTCTCTGAAAGCACAGAGAGGGAAAAAGTTCGTCTTCAGAAGGATCTTACACAGCTTAAACAGGAATCAAAACTTTCAATTTCTAGAATTAGTGCAGACGTGAGTAGTCTTAATTCGTTAATTATGACCACAAAAAATATTTGTTCTTGCATGATATGGAACTAATTACTGCTATTTTGTACTTAGCTTGAGAAAATGGAATGCAGAGCTATTAACTTTGAGAAAGAAGCAACTCTCCTGAAGGAACAACTTGAAAACCTTCAAAGTCAACTTAATGAGGTTATACCTTTCTTCTGAATTTGTAATGTAGCCGTTATAACTCATATATAAATATCATTGAAATTTGAAACTTGCTTGTTGTCTATATTTGGTGTTATGCTCTCATCCCCAGTGCTTGCATGAGAAGAATGAAGTAGAGAAAAAACTTTCCACTTTAACATATCAAGAAGCTCCTTCCTCAGATGACAGTATCTTGGTGAAGCATTTGAGAGAAGAGCTCAGAAATTATGTACGTTTTTTTATCCTTCCTCATTTCATGAAATGTGATTTTGATAAAAGGGTCACAAGGGCAACATCAATTACAGTAATGGAATCCACTGGATTTAAAGTTAAAACAAAAACAATAATCATTGTTTTGTATATTTGTGATCAGGAATCAGAAGTCCGTGAAGCTAGGAAATGGAAATCCTCTCATGAGGACATTGAGTTGTTGAGGGAGAAATTGTTGGAAGAAAAGAGCAGGAGAGAGAGGGCAGAGTTAGGGATTTCAGAATTATCAGAAGCACAATTAAATGCAAAGAAATTGCAGGATGAATTGTCATGTTGGGAATCAATGATGAAGGAGATTCCTGGTGTGACATGTGCTGCTGACATACCTCTCAAGTTTGCAGCATTGCAAAAGTTGGCACCAATAACTTTTTTCACAAGTTAATAAATATCTTTGGGGTGACTTATTTACTAAATTGACCTTTTGGTTTTGCATGACAGGGATGTTATTGAGAGCATGATGAAGATGGGAGAGGTGAGTGCACGTTTGAAACAAGTAGAGGTTGCTTTTGATGCTGCTGAGAATGGTAGACAGACTGCTGAAACAGAGTCTGCATTGACCAAAGAGAAGGTTGAACTTTTGAAATTGGAGCTCAAAAGAAATGAGTTGCTGGTAAGTTTGTATCTTGTACCTTTTTTGATTTTGAAACTCCAAACATTTTATTGCTTAAAGATCATATTCATTTTGATTCTCTTTTCTAATAAGAAAAGAAGTATTTTTCTAAACAATAAAATATTGATATTCTTAGGAATTGAAATATTATTGCAGCTTTCTTCAGTTAGTGAGGAGAGGGATCGTTTGAAAAGTGTTGTTGATCAACTGAAGCAGCAAAAGAATGCTGAAGCAGGGGCTGCAAGTGCAATGACTGATGGAACACTTGAGGATCTTGAATCTTCTCTTGCCATTAAAGAAGATTACATAAAGAAACTGGAGAGCTCTATACTTGAGCAAAAAGACGTAAATGCCCGTCAGCATAATGAAATAAAGCTGCTGAATGAGAGGCTGAATAATGAATTAAGAAGAATAAAGTCATTGGAGAGGGAGGATGATCGACTGCGCTCAGAGATAGCTATACTGGAATCAAAGGTTAAAATTTCATCAATGTTTTTTGTGTTATCTTAAAACTTTTTTTATAGATTTTATTTATTGACAGGTGGGGCATGGTGATTTTTCATCTGCAAGTACAAAAGTACTGCGAATGGTGAACAGCCTGGCAGTTGACAGCGAGGCAAAACAGACAATAGAGGCTTTGCAAAATGAATTACAGAAGACAAAAGAGAAGTTACAAGCTGTTGAGGAGTTGAAAAAGCAGTCAGGTATATTCTTTTTTTCTTGCCAGAAACTATGTGTGTTTATTTTGTGTGATGACACACAGTTATTGATGGATGTTGTGTTATCTTGTTCAGCTGATGCTGGGACATTGGTAGACTCGTATATTTCTGGGAAAACAGTGCAGTTAAAAGAGCAAATTGCTACCCTTGAGAAACGCGAGGAAAGGTAAGTGATATGTTTAAGAAATAGCAACCTACTTTCATTTCTTTCTATTTTATAATTTTTATTCTTATCAAGGCGTTGTAGTTTGAAAAGTATACCATCTTAGAGTGTTGGGACTTTGAGACATTATACTAATGAAAAATCTACCAATCATAGCAGTGAAAATTTTCTTGTATTTGGATGACACTGTTATGATTGTGTAGGTTTTTTGGAAAAAACAATGAATGTATTTTGTTATCTCTTTATGTTATTTATGTTTGGAAGTGTTAAGTGTTTTGATGATACACACACACACACAGGTATAAGACGGTCTTTGCAGATAGAATCTCAGTTTTTCGAAGGGCATGCTGTGAATTATTTGGTTACAAGGTAACATTACATGAGGAAATTCATATTTTCACATTTGTTTTCATCAATATATTGATATTTCAGTAAATTGTTATCGTTTTTCTTGATATCTACAGATTGTGATGGATGATCACCAGCGATTGGATGGGATCCCTGTTACAAGATTTACCCTTCACTCAATATATGCTCAAAGTGAGGATGAAAAACTTCAATTCGAATACGAATCAGGGAACACAAAAATTCTTGTACGACAATATATTTATTCATTATTAATAGCTGTATTAATAAGTTTCATTCAAAGAATATATAAAAAAAAATGCATTCATGAGGCTTACAAAGCAGATTTTGTTTTCAGGGAAATAACTACACACAGCAGCGTGACATATCCAAGCAGGTTCGTACTAACCACCTCTATTCTAATAAGGAATGGTTATTGCTTTCTGAGCTAAAACAAACATCCTACTTTTTTTTTTTTTTTTGTTAATGAGACAAAAATTGCAAGTTATGAAGATTAGTAAACAGTTTTGCGATGGTTATTGCAGGTGGAGATTTTCATTGGGAAGATGAACTCGATTCCAGCTTTCACTGCCAATTTGACGATTGAGTCTTTCAATAAGCGCACACTTTCATGAGAATGAGAATGAGAATGAGAATGAGAGATAGAAAGCAACTCCTCTTGTTGCTTTGCATACACTCACTCTACCCATCAATCTATCATTTTGTACCACAAATTGAACCATGTTTTGCCAATTTGGAGCAATGGTGTTATAAACGTCTGCTGTTTGTTACATATATATAGTATGTATGTGTGTGTGTGTGTTCTTCCAAGGCTTAAAGGCTTAAAGGAGTTGGAGAAATTATGTTTAATATAGCTTGTGTTCTTCCAAGGCTTAAAAGAGTTTAGAGATCTTCTACATCTTTTCCCTCGTCTCATTATGAAATATTCTAAAACATTCATGTTAGATCAAATAATTAGATTCAGATAAGAAATAAAAAAATCCGATAACTAACCATGTTAAGTGCACACGATTCGATTGATCACTATTGTTTTTAAGTACAAAAACGGTAAAAATGCATATTACAAGTATGTTGGTATATGTATCCCTTATTTTGATATAAATATTTTTTTATTTAATTATTTTGTTTTTTTTCTCGTTTTCTCTTTTTTTGTTGTTTTTTTATTCTCTTTTTCTCTTTTTGTTTAAATTACTTACAAAAGAAGTATCATTACTTTAATAGTTGATATATATTTTACATTACATTTTTCATAACTCTAGGGGCTATTTTTGTAAATTACTTACAAAATAATTAAACCAAAAATTTTATTTTAATAATCGATATACAACATTCTCCATAACTCCATGGACCATTTGTGTGAACCTAGATTCATACTTTCAAATAACAAGACACATATATTCATACTTTCAAATAATTTAAACGATATGAAGAATTTTACTTTATCACGTTATACCACTATGAGATTCATACTTTCAAATAAAAAATATACATATTTATACTTTCAAATAAATAAACAATATGAAAAATCTTACTTTATCATGTTATATGACTCATGATTCATACTTCCAAATCATAGCACATATTCATACTTTCAAATCACGTATGCACATATTCATATATTTAAAAACCTAGATTCTCTGTTTGTATCAATTGAATCATCTGACGATATTGGTAGTTCACCCTCTACTACACTATCTGTTCCCATTGTCCTTGGTGGCACAACTTCAGATGTGATAAAGAAACAAATGAGCGTCACATTGTCCTTACACTTTATGTTACATCTTACCTACTTTACGTCACATTCTATATATTACATTTAACCTACCGACAACGACAAATAATAAAATAGATTACAAATCCTTCCATCCCATTGTCCTTGTCTCCAGCTACAATGGCCGCCACCGTCATTGTCTCTCTCATCACCAACGCCACAGGAGTACGCACTTGGTGACACAACTTCAGATGTGATAAAGAAACAAATGGGCGTCTTCATGAGGATTTGATCAGATTTTGCCTAAAGTGTCGAGAATTGGTGGTGGTGTTCTAAGTTCACATTCTCCTCCGTCTTTCTATAATATGCATAGTTGATTGATTGTTAGATAATGTACAATATGGACTTGACTTTAACTTGTTTGGTATGAAATTTTTGTTTTGACCAAACTTTTTGTTGGCTTTGTTTATTGGTCCAGATCTAAAGTAAAAACAAGGGTAGCTTGTTATATCCATCTGCACGTAAAATTTATTCTTTTAAGTTCCCCTTTGGTGTATCATTGGAGCTCATGGGTTAATGTAGCCACATTTTACAATTTACAATTTAGACTGGAGGTTTCTACCTATCTTGGGATTTATCTGGTCTGTAAGGTAGATGCATTGTAATTCATCATCAAGAGGTAGAAAAAACAAAATTCTACCTCTAATATAACAAAATAACAAAATTCAGAGGCAGTAACATCTAATCGAAAATAAATTGAAGGTTAAAATTTGATTAGTTTGGTTCTAATATAACAAAATAAAAAGGAAAGTATATAATAAAATGAAACTGACAAAAGAAATAATGAGGGGTAAAGTGGTCATTTAAAAAGGTAGTTGACCATCATTTTTAACGGAGTTACAAATAAGGACCAAAACATGCTTGATTTTGAAACCACATTATCATGCAAGTGCCACTTTTCGGAAACCACAGGGACCATTGGTAACAAACAAACAAACCGTACCTTAACTAACCCCAATCAGTAACATTAATACAAAAAACGCAAAGAAACAGTAGACCAATGAATAGTAATAGTAATAATACATTAGAGAATGTCTGTGTCATTACAGTCTAGGTATTGTATATGGTATGGGGGCTCATTTACTTGAAAAAAATATTGCCTTACAAGAAAAAGAATGCCATCAAATTCTGTGACAATTTTAGCCCAATCCAATCCAATCCATATGTTTGTTTACTACAAGTATAGAGAAGCTGCAAACACAATATCCCTCTTGATCTGTGAAACTGCATCCTCAAACTTGGCTTCAAGTTCAACTTCACCAATGGATTTTGCTGCAAGTATCAACTGCTGAAGTATTTCTTCCAGTCTCCTGATCCCTCTGATCAAACTCCCTTCAAACACCTGTGTGATTTCCATGATCTCGTAGAATTTTGACCCTCTTGCCCATGAATAAACAGCCTCCATGATATCAGGCCGGAATGAATTTACAAAACTCTCCACATCAATTTCAACCTGCCAAATCATTCATATAAGGCTAAACAAACTACTTTGCTATTTTCTTTTTTTAATAAAATCATAAGAATGTAACCTTGCACTCTAGCTGCACTTTTGCAACTCTCCTTGCAGTATCCTGCAATTGTGTGAAAAGCATGTCCAGTTCTTCCCTGGGCTTTTGAGCATCCTGAAGCTTCTCTTGCCACACAAAACATGATAAAAGAGACACCATTTCCTCTATCTTTATGTCTTTGAAAACCCCATTGAACATGAGCTCTGTTAACACCAGTTCATCAGCACTGCTTATCTCACAAGCAACTTTCCCCTTCAACTCCACAACATCCTCCCTAGTCACATATCTGAAAACAATTCAAAGTAAAAACACATTTTAATTTATACAGGTCAAAGTAAATAACATAATAAATATATTACCCGAGTCTCCGAAGAACCCTTTTCCTTGCTTTGAGCTCATCTTTGAAGGCAAGTGCAGATGAAGAACGCATTGACTTCTTGATTGTTTTAATTTGAGCAGTAATTTCTTTCTTTTTGTGCAACACTTTGAGTTTTTGCTCAATAAGTGGAGACTTTGAAACTTCATGTTTATCAAACAGGTTTTCTAATGCCTCAATCCTACGAACAGCCTTCCTATACGACCCACTTTGGACCTGTTGAATATCATACAAAAAAAAAATGAGAACATGACCATTAATGGGAACTAAAGGATGCAAAATTAATTCCAAAAGTCAAACCTTCATGTCTTCTTCAGGGTCCAAGAGTGGCATTCCTTGTTTGGAAAATCTGGAGAGAACTTCAGATACCTTTTTCAAGGTGTTTTCCCGATTTTCTAATGGCAAAAGATCCTTTGCGATTATAAGACGAACACTACTCAAGTTATCTATCTGTTCATAACAAAAAAAAAAGATCAGATGCTTATACATCAGGTAACATCATCATACAACAAGAAATTGTGCATTTTTAAAGCTCTCTAGGGCTATTTTCGAAAATGAGGATGAGGAGGGTATTTATGTCTTTTGCACACATAGATCTATAACAAGTTAGAATCTTACCTGAGAAACAAGAACAGAAACAACAACAGGTTCCCCAGGCGATTTTAATGGAACAATCTTGATTGTTTTCTTTGAAAGTTCATCCTTAGAAACTGCACATCTAGTAAGAATATCAACTGAATAGTTGGCATCTTCTGGGCTTTTATTTGCATCATCTGAATCACATAAATATATATAAAAGTCATTTCCTATTCAAGCAACTAATTTTATAGAAAAATCCTTGTAGAAAATTAATATCGAACCTTCTGAAAGACCCTTCAACCTTTGAAAGTTAACAATTACACCCCATGTTACGTTATCCTCGGTTGACAAAGGAAGGGCATTTTCGTCATTATTTCCACAACGAACACAAACAAGCCTGCCAGGCTGCAAAAATGGCAAACAATATCTAGGAGAAAAGACAATATCACGAACATCATTCTTTAAGCTTCTATATTGCTGTAGCAGAGAGTAATAATTTTCCAAGCTATCCTCCTCTTCAATGTGAATCGAGTCCCTTTCCTCCTGTAAAAGCTTCATTTGTCTCTACAAACAAAATAAACAAACAAATAAGTAAAACCTAATACGCAAATTTATATATAAAATAAAAAAAATAACCAACCTCAAGATCAGGGATGGCTCGGTCAGCTTGGAACTGATAGAATGAATTCCTAAGCAAATTTTCTGGATTACCATCTTCACATCTCAGTTGATTCAAAAGCATATTGTAGCTTAAATGAAAAGCACTGGCAAATGGCAACCACATCAATTAGTTAGGGGTAAAATATAACTGAACATTTTTTGAAAGGGGTAATGTAGGAAATGCAAACCTGTTTAAACAATCAGCACTTCCTTTGACCATCATTTTAGCAGTTGAAGGTTCGAGTTTTTCATCAAGCATAAGAATGCAGACACCACGATCATCTATTCCTCTACGCCCTGCACGACCACTCATCTGTATGTATTCACCACTTGATAGCCATCTGAATTTATCTCCATCAAACTTCCGGACATTTGAGAAGACAACTGTTTTTGCAGGCATGTTCAGACCTATGCTGAATGTCTCTGTGGCAAACAAACACTGATACAAAATGTTTCAATGTTAGAAACCGATGAAACTTGAAGGATATGCTACAACAATCACATTCTTTCAAGCATCATACTAAACACTACTCTAGTCTTAGTGACTTAGTCAAAGCTAAACTTCAGTATAATGGAACAAAAGCAGAATTGTGAGGGAAAAGAACATAATACAGTGTTAATCACGATTCATTGAGATGAAAACCAGTTATAACCACTCAAACCAAAATGAAGGGATCACAAAGATTAATGAAGTATTATCTCATTCCAACCTTAATTAGACCTTCTTGGAATAGTATTTCAATGACTTCCTTCAGTATGGGGAGTAAGCCAGAATGATGCACACCAATCCCACGCTTCAAGAGGGGAAGCATATTTGACACCTGGCTAACCAAAAAATATGAGAAAACAGAGCATTTGCTCCCAAAAAGAATGAAAAAGAGTTTTGCAACTTAGGGTGATGGAAACATGTCATTGTTTAAATAGAAGTAAACAAATAGGTAAGATAATCTTGCCTGGGGTAGCTTTTTGTCATCATCTGAAAGCATGTCCATAGCACTCCAAAAGATGGTTTCAATGTTCACTTTCTCATCATCCTCATTCAAGTCCATTTTCGCCATCTACAAGATGTTCAAGATTAGTAATTGTGAATTTGTGATTTAGTCAATAAAATAACCACAAGTGCAAAAAAGATACCTACCTGCATTGCAAGAAATTCACATTCCCTTTTGCTGAAACTAAAGATTATAACAGGATCATATTGGCGTTGAATAATCATCTTCACCATTTTAAATATATCACTATCTTCACCACCTCTACCATTAACCAGCCCTTTCTGCTTCTTCCCATAATCTTTCTTCTTGTCACCATCATTGGCAGGAACAAGAGCATTTAAAGCTTTTTGGAAACTATCTTCACGAAATTTTCCCTTTTCATCCACCACCAAATACAACCCATCACCACCAGTAGGAAAAAGGTAATGTTGAAGAGGTGTTGGCCTATAATCCGTATAAACAATATGACATGGTTGCTGATGAACCTTTGCAACCCAATCAGCAAATTCCTTAGCATTTGGAACTGTAGCGGAAAGGAACACAAAACGAGCATTTTTGGGAGCCATAACAATGCTCTCTTCCCAAACTACCCCTCTTTCTCTATCACGCATATAGTGTACCTCATCAAAAATGATCCATGCCACCTCCCTTGTGAGTTCTGATCCTTTGTACTGCATACTACGCCAGATTTCTGTGGTCATTACCAAGCAAGAAGCATTGGGTTCAATAGTAACATCTCCAGTCATCAACCCCACATCAGAAAACTCTTCTTTGAACTCTCTGTACTTTTGGTTACTCAGTGCCTTTATAGGAGAAGTGTATATTACTCGTTGCTTATTCTTCAGTGACATTGCAATAGCATATGATGCCACAACAGTTTTCCCTGCTGATGTATGTGCTGATACCTGTAAATTTGATAATTTAGTAAAAGCAACTTCCATGTATATGAATTGTATGACTATGAATAAAGAATTCTGAAAACCAAACGACAAATTGCTCTTCATAAAATAAAATTTGTTACCATAACGGATTCTCCTGCATTCAGACAATTAATTGCCTCCGCCTGAAAAGGGTCGAGTGTAAAAGGAAATTCCTTAGCGGGCTTTGAGTCTTCCTCGGTATTTGACCGCCGAGGAACAGCAACGTAGTTCTCCGGGTATGAACAATCATGAACACACGCCACCCCGGCCTCCGCCTCATTGTTTGTTCCCATTAATCTGTTATCATTGTTCTTGTTGTCTTTCTGTTGTTTGTGCGGCGGAGGTGTAGAAGCTGAAGGACCTTCTTCTAACGACTTCCTCTTCACCGATCCCATTGATGGATTATGAACAAACTCTAAGATGTTATGGTACAAAGGAAACTTTAAGCCCTCAAATTCAAGGGTTTATTGGAGTCCCAATTGCGGACAAACTACAAACCCTATGCTTCAAAACCAGTCTAAACGGAAAAAAGGCGGCGAAGGTTTATGTTAAAAGGCTAGTAGCAAATGGCTACTCGTGCGGACCTGAGAAACCATGGTTTCCAAATAAATTACACATAATAAAGAATGAATAAATTACACATTTAGACCCTGTGTTCCGCTCAGTTTGCAACTTTAGTCTTAACAGATTTAATTGTTATAATTTCAGTCCAACATAGTATTAGTTTTACAAGTCCAATATTTGGCTTGATCAAAATTAGGTTGTTACTTCTCTTGGTTGGAAACCCATAACATCCATATCTAAATATTCTTCAAAATGATTCTACGTTGACCTTCTTACTTGATGGTGCCATACCCCATTACCTTCCCGACAAGGAACAAATCTAATATCTCTTGACATTGCCACCATAATCTTCTCTTAATCTCTATCTCCTCTATATATAAACTATCCTATCCTTTATTGTAGACCTCTCCTCAACAAGTGTTTCTTTGTTTTTTAAGCAATGCTCTTGCCTGAATTTCGACCCGCCATAGACCATTTTCCATGTAAATATGTTGGTTACCACTTGACGAAACCACATTTTATTCCCTCAAATAATCAAGACCGTTGCAATTTTCTTCCACCAAACAGCTCCATACAAAACATTGGCCTAATGGATTTGTTACACGTCCTTTCTTGACCAATCAAAACTTGTGAAAATCTTGATTGGACCAACAACCAACCGCCTCCAATTCACCCCTTTGATTAATCCAATAAAATCGTTGCCTATAAAGGAACTAAAACATTCATTTTTTAATCAATAACCATATACGAAAATCAAATCGATCACCACCCAAATGAACCCTTCACTATTTAAATTATCTCTTTTAAAATGGAAACCAAGCCTTCTTCTTGAACCCCAAGAAAAAACAATTGGTACTCTTTTAGACCTTTTATCGAATACCTTGTGTTCTACCAAAGCTAGAGCTTTGCAACCCAATTGGAATTCGATCTTTCCCAAAAACACACGAGTATAGATATTGTTGTTATTTTGATTCCGATTTGAGAAACCTTATGAACCTATTACAAAATATCACTTAATAATACATTCAACCTCTTCAATCCACTCCAAAAAAATTAGCAACCAAGAGCTCACCAAATTAAAACTCATGTTCTATAAAAAGGTTTTCTCCTCCTAAAGCTCTTATAACAATTTGTTGTCCCTTAACAAATAATTAGAAAGAAAACAATAAGAATGACAAAAAAAAATTCTTATTTAATTAGTGGATGAATGAATATGTGTCACTATCTAATTCTATGACCACGTTACCGTCAAAAGGCAGACTATTTGTTTTATTGGCATAAATGGTCCTCGTACTTAATTATTATATCATATTCGGAAAAATATTTGATAGTTGATGTTTTGAATAGCACAAAAGACATCAAGTTTACACTAAAATTCTAATTTGACATTGTGTTTTTTTTCTCAAATTTGACACTGTGTTTTCTAATTTTTTACAATTTTGACCACTTGACCGGTCAACCCGGTTACCTGCTGACGTGACATGATGACGTGTCAGTTTTTGATGACATGGAATGCTGACATGACATACTAACGTGTCAAAATTGAATTTTTTTCCACAAAAGACACTAAGTTTTCACTTTTTTCGATTTTGACACTCTGTTTTTTTTTGTTCCAAATCGAACATCAATTTTTCCAATTTTATTTAATGTTGACCATTTTCCATTTGAACCCATATAAATATTTTTTTAATACATTTTAAACCGTATAAATACATTTTTTTTCTTTTAAAAACCATATTTTTGTATAAATACAAGGTTTTTTACATTCAGACAATATTTTTATGTATAAATTAAATATGTATTAGGTATATAAAAAATGTATTTTATATTAAATACGCAACTTTAAAATGAGTTTGGAGGTTTGGAGGCGTGTAGTCGATCAAGCCCCAGAGCTGAGGTTTGCAACCCTTGAATTTTTTACATCTTATTCGAAGCTTATGGTTAGTTTGGTTCTCATGATATAACTAATGCATATTTATGCATAACATTATGTTTTGGATGTAAAAAAGGAAAAACTTTGTATTTATATAAAAATGTGGTTTTAAAACGAAAAAAATGTATTTATACGGTTTCAAATGGAAAAAAACATTAAACAAAATTGGAAAAAATGATGTTCGATTTGGAACAAAAAAAATTAGAGTGTCAAAATTGAAAAAAAAATTAAACTTAGTGTCAAAATCGAAAAAAGTGAAAACTTAGTGTCTTTTGTGGAAAAAAAAATTCAATTTTGACATATCAGCATATCATGTCAGCATGCAACATCATCAAAACTGACACGTCATCATGCCACGTTAGCAGGTAACCGGGGTGACCGGTCAAGTTGTCAGAATTGTAAAAAATTAGAAAACACAGTGTCAGATTTGAGACAAAAAAAAAACATTGTGTCAAATTAGAATTTTGATGTAAACTTAGTATCTTTTGTGTTATTTACCTTTTTTTTCAACTTTATGAACGGTTTCTGATTTAGAAGTCGAATCAGACACATATGTTTAATTATTTTTTAGGGTGAAAGTTTGTAGATGGTGGGATATATTAATTGATTTATGGTACTTGATTTTAGGGTTTTTGGTAAAATTGACATATAATTATTTTTTTGAAGTTACAAGAGGAAATGGTTTAATAGGGAAAGAGTAAATTACACGAATGGTCCCTATGGTTTAGGGTAATTTATGTGTTTAGTCTCTAACTTATCTTTTTAACTCGGAAGGTCCCTACTGTTTGTTTTTGTTACGCGTTTGGTGCATGTCTTACCTAAAAAAACTATTTTTGCCCTTGTTTTTTTAATTTATTTAAATAAACACACCCCCAACCCCAACCCCAACCCCACCCCCTCACCTTACCTTACATACCCACCATTTTCTCTATTTAAATAATAGTCTTTTTAGGTAAGACAGGGACCAAGCGCGTAATAAAAACAAACAGTAGAGACCAAACGCATAATAAAAACAAACAGTAGAGACCTTCCGAGTTAAAAAAATAAGTCAGGGACCAAGCGTGCAAATTACCCCAAACCATGTTAATGTAATTTACTCATAGGGAAATTGAGTAATCTAACTTGTTTTTGGTTGTTTTTAATATATATATATATATATATATATATATATATATATATATATATATATATATATAACCCTTTTTTTTAGCAAAATGACCACTTGGTCCGGAATAGGGCGTTCCAGACCCAATTTCAAATTCGGTTAAACGGGTAGATAATTATGACCCGGTAATTTGGTTCGCCTATAAGTACCATTTAACGCGTTTCGGACTAGACTTCGACATCCCTTGTTTCGGATTACCCTACATCTCATTCCGGACACCTCTACAATTGAAAATGTCTTCTGATAGCAGTGAAGAAATGCAGTTTTTATTTGTAAGTTTCATATTTGTTTCTAATTAAATGCATTTATTTTAGATTATACGTTAAAAATGTTTAGTTTACGCAATTATATATGTATCATAGGGTTTTCTGTGAATTTTAATCGTGTCAAGGCAATTATAGGATTACATGGACTTATACATTTATACTACATGACACATCGTTATCAAAAACCCTAATTTCCGCTAGTCCGGAACGTGTCCGGAATCAAAAAATCATGTCCTGAATCCCAAAATCATGTTCGGAATACAATGAAATGGGTATGGAATTTCTAGTCCGGAATATTGTACCTGATTTTCGGATTTCGGAACATACATACAAAAATCATAATTCCGGAATACAATGAAAAACCCTACTTCCGCTCCGGAACCTACATACAAAATCCCTAATTAATAATTCTTTTGATTGTAGCACGATAAAACATACGAATCGGTTGTTACTACAACCTGTAGACTTGAACTTGGGCACGCAATCATGGTGCGCTTACAAAATCGACCAGTTTGTGGGGCGATGTTTAGGCAATCATGTTTTGGTGATTACATGAACATGTCGATGGGTGTCGAATGTCACCCTTTACTATGTTACTATCTTATGTGCAAGGAAGTTACTACTTTTGATCCAGTTGACCTAGAAGAGCTTCTATTTCCGGTTGGCGACTATCGGGTTTGCTTTGACAGGAAAGCATGCTGCTTGGTCATCGGTTTGCGGTTTGGGGATTATTTCCATCCCAATTATGGTTTTGCAAAATTCAGAGAATGTGTGTAACACCCTGTTTTGATTCGTTTCTTAATACGGGGCCGTGACCCGAAGATCAATTGTTATAAGGTTTCACACCTTAAGGAAAAAGAGGTTTAGACCCATTTGGATGTGGGTAATGTAGATTTTGTGATCCACGAGTTCGGATTGTGCTTTGGAACACATGGGTATACTTGTAAAGTAATGGTTTGGACCTTTTATTGAATTTAAGGATTTTAGTTCGATGTGTTTTAAGTCAAGAGTAAGTAGATACGGTTGTAGAGCTTCTCAACACCTTTCAGTGGATATAAGGATCGTTGAAAATGGAGTTGGAACGAAGAAGCTATGTCCGTTTGAAGTTATGAGGATTTTGGGCTAAGCCGGGAATGCTGGGCGTACATGGAATGTACGTTGGGCGTTCATGGTTGGGTGATCGTGAAGGTTCCTTCAGGAACGTTGGGCGTTCCATATGAATGTTGAGCGTTCGCGGCCCAGACTCAAACCCTAATTTTGGATATTCGACCCTATTTAAAGGCCTTAACTCATCTCCAAACCTCCTTACCTTCAGTATCCACCTTCTTAAGTTGTTTCCTCAAAACCCTGGCCTCATATGGAAGATTATTGAGCTTTTGAGTGATTTTGGTGGGATTTTTGTGCACTTGGAATAAGAATAACTCATTGGAGAAGAGTTAGATTGCTTAGAGCTTGTGGATCCTAGCTTCGTTTTCCTTAATCTATCTTCTGAAGGTAAAAAGCCTCAAACCTGATGGTTAATTTGTTAGGTCTTGCTTGTGAGTGGGTTGTTGTGCTTTTTGGTCCCATGACTTGATTCTTGAGAGTATATGCTACTCCAAAAGTTTTAGGTTGCTTATTTTGATGTTTTAAAGGTCCCTAATTCATAAAGTGTGTATCTTGATGGTTGTGGACCAACCATGCATGGGTTGTTGATCTCTTGGTCAAGCTAGTATACTAGATTTGGGTTTTAGGTTTCTTGGAGCCATGCAAAGGCACCAAGTTGATGACTTTATTGATTAAGACACCCATTAGAATTAGATATGAGCCTTGGGTGTAAAGTCTTAAAGTATTAAGCACTTTTAAGAAAGCCCTTAGTCATTTTGTTGTGTTAAGAAGCTTAGGTTTGGTGTTGGGCTCTATTAAGTTGTGTTAGGTCATAAAGTCAGGAACTTTATGACTATAGATATTCATTAGGCTTGAACTTGAGGATTTGGTCTTTTGGTCTTAAAGGAATAAGACCTAAAAATGGAGTTAAGGTTTGAGCATCGTACGTCGGGCGTACTGAGGTGGTACACAGGGCGTATACACCGATGTGCCTTGCCTTTTGGGGTTTTGGTCCATGAGTTGTTGGGTCAGATGTGGGAAGGGTAAAATAGTCTTTTACCCATTGATATAATAGAGTATGAATTGGACTTTGGACTATGGAAATCTACTTCATTATTGATTAGGGATAATTTGGATGTGTTCAGTGTAAAGAGCCCGAAAGCAGCACCGAGTGTGACTTGTTATCTTCAGACTGAGGTGAGTTTCCTTCACTATACTCGTGGGTTGAAGGCACCAATGCCGACCCACTAGGTTATGTTTGTAGGATGATAATTGTCTTCGTGACAATATCCTGTTAAACCTGTATATGCTTGTTGTCTCTGTGACTCTTATTGTTATGATTATATGCTAGTTGTAGGGGTGAAATAGACCGATACATATTGAAATAGACAAAAAGGGTTGAAATATACTTAATACCGGTTGAAAGAGACCGAATGGGTTGAAATATACACAGTACCGGCTGAAAGAGACCGAAGGGGGTGAAATAGACCCAATATTTGTTGAAAGAGACCGAAGTGGTTGAAATATACTCAGTACCGGTTGAAAGAGACCGAAGGGGGGCAAAATAGACTCAATTATGTTTTGACTGCTATGTATGTATGGTATGGAGTATTTTGGGGAAGCTCACTAAGTTTTGTGCTTATGGTTTTCAGTTTATGTTTCAGGTACTTCTAGCTCGAAAGGGAAGGACCCGACTTAATCGTACCGCAACTGCCCATGTTTTCCACATTATGTGATTTTGAGATTTTGTACTCTGATGTTATTTCACTATGATACCCTTTCGGTTGTTTTGACATGTTTATTGGATGTTTTGAAATGAATTAAAAATAAAAATTTTGTCTGAAATTTTGGGATGTTACAGTGTGTTTCCATTTGTGCCGCTTTTCACGTTCCATAAGTGTGGCAGACCTTACGCATGTGTTCAATAACTTACTTCATCAATTAAGTAATGAAGACGTGGTGAGAGTCTCCCTGTTGTATATGCTAGAGCAAGGATTTTTTAGGAAATATCCTCGACAACTAGTTACTAATGAACATATGGCATCCGTCTCTAATTTACAGGAGTTTAATAGGTATACAGTTTTTTACCCACATTATAATCAAAATGATACATATACTTATTAAGTGTAATTTTTTGACATAGGTACCCATAGGGCAGATTGATATGAGATTTCACTTACAAACAGTTGCGTACTGTGTTTGATAAAATTGAGGACCATTTGAACCCAAATGTGCTAAGAATCGGTAGTAGACACACATATACTCAGTAGGGACTTGTCTATGCATTTAAGGTATGTACATAACGTTTAATAAGAGTTTTTAAATAAGTATTGTAACTTTGTTAACTTGGTAAGTTGTTTGTCATCTTAATTTTGCAGATTTGGATCTTGGAGACATTTCCCAACAGTAGTATTGTTGGTACCCCTATATCGGGTGTTATCTCTCGGGTGGTTGCATACCCTAGGATGAGGCGTTTGCATGCACCTGATTGTCAACGTATTCTCGATGTTACTAATGTATGTAGTTTAGTCCACCTTATAATTTATAAGTTGATATGACATAAATAACTTACAATTTACCTTTGTATATTATTTTTTTTATGTAGTGTCCCCCCAACGAGTTGTTGCAGCCTATTGCGTAGGAGCGTGCTGATAGGTGGTGGATTGAGAGTGTCCAGTGGATAGATTCACTTGGAGATTCACTTTTTGTTGACTCTGCAGGAAACGGAGCATCACGATTTCTGCTTGTGTGACTGATCCTTTGGCAACAACTACATTTTTTTTAATCGGACCTTCACCTTGGGATGGGATACAATTATGGTTTTTAGGTCGTCTGACTTGTCGTTTGTCCATCAATGGTGGAAAAACAACCATAACTTCATTCGGTTCTTTGTATTTAGTTAGAAATAGCATATGAAACACAACCTCTACATATGTTGATCGATATATTTCCATTGTGAAGTACGATGACACCCATGCACTGCAATGTTGATATCTTAATTTCTTGAATACCGTTGTAGCATGAGTACAAGGTATACCCAACAATTATCATTTCCCACACGTGCAGTAACGACTTTCCAAGTTTACTATACCATTTTTCATTCGATTTAATATTGTAATAATTGCTACGTTTATGGTTAGATGAAGTTTTCGAACAATTTTATTTTTCAACGACATGAAAGATGCGAAATGATTCCCTTTTTGATTTAATCGTAGCTGTTTCATTTTTCTTGGTTTCTTTAAGATGCAAAAAATTAAATAAAATTAATGTTATAGATTAGATTAGTTGAGAGGTACTCTATTGTTGTGTTATAAGTTGTAATTTCTAGCCAACTACTTGATAGTTGTTTAAAAAAATTCGTTTTGGTGTAATAAAATTACAAGTTTAACTTAATTAGGCAATTCTTATTTGGTTTGCTTGTAATTTCGCCAACAGATTTTTTCCTTTTTGGCGTTTGGCTACTTTACTAGCAATTACTATTTATATTATTATTATTATTATTGTTATTTGAAGATTTGAAGATATCTCAGCCGAGTCTCCCACCGACGACCACCACCGTCTCAAGATCTACGCCTCCCGAAATTGCAGGTCGTTAGACTATTGCCATTTACGTTTTCTACTCCAGTATTCAACTTAGATCCATCAAACTGATCTACGCCATATTTTGGAGGTCCCTTGGTTGCGAAAATTCAAACTAGATGGGGGCCGTGCCTTCAACACCGCGGTGGGGCGGCGAGTTGTCGCAGGACACGGCGGAGTATTTAATCGGAACATTTGTTGGTGATAAAACGTTTCCGCTCGTTTCTGATTACTGGCAGAAATTACTGGAGCTCCCTTTTGATCTCCATTGGCCGGCTAATCGTGTTGAACAAGCTTGCCAGGAATTCGGTTAGTTGTAGCGTTCTGTTTCCCTCAATATAATGTACTTCTCTGTCAGGGGTTTAGATGAATAGTTGTTCTATACTTGTGAGCTTTTAAGCTGATGGCGCGGAGGGGATCCGGTATGATCTGGAGAACTATCCCTCCAAATGCTACCTCAAATAGGGGAATTCCTAAGATTTTTTTTCATTTCATGTTTAAATTAGGCGTAAAAACTGGTTCGTTTTACATTCATTCTCTTGATAATCTGTCAAGCCACCTTCCTTACAAAACCTTTGACAAAGGGTAGTTACTATTTGGTTTGCTTCTGATTTTTCTGTTATACCATAATGAGTAATTCGTGCTTCTGCCCAGAGTGATAACTGATAACACCTATATGGTTCTCATAAGTTTTCTGCAATATTATAAGAGGTCTTTGCTGGAATTCTAACCCTCATCCTTTTCAAATTGCTGGCACAGTATGCAGGACTGGACCCTAATGTTTGTGTGTTAGAGATTGCATTATCTTGCTGCTATGTTCATTTCAATTTCTGAGCTCCTATTTAATTAGTAGTCTTAACTTTATCCATTGAGATGTATTATAAGTGATTAGTTTAGTTTTTTCTTACTGAAATCTAAGCTAAACTTGATTTTGTGGACTACATATAGATTGCATTCGCTAGGGTCTTATTTTGGATATTGATTTGTTCTATTTCACAGCACGGAACAATGGTTCTACAAGGCACCTCGCAAAGATGTTAATCCACTTAACCTGGTGTTTACAAGAGTCACTTTCTAACCCTGGTGTCCTATCTGTGGCTTCAATGAAAGCTGTAAATGCATCTTACATATCCTCTGTATTTCTTAAGTATTCAATTGAGAATTCGACAAGTGAGAACCTTGAAGATTTGTATTTGTCCCTAGATGAGAGTGAAACAGTACAAAGCAATATCCGTAAAGGTAATTCATCTGATTTGAAGTGTCTTACATAAATATAACAATTAATTTGTATTTTCAACATTTATGTATTCTGTTGTTGATTGCAGATGAGAGCATTATAAGTATGGTTATGCATGCTGTGCTTAGCTATATCGGCAGAGTCGAAATAAGGTATACTTCTGATTATTATTATTATATTCATTATATAAATTGCTTTTTCTAATTGTTTATATATAAATACTCTTGTTTTTTGGAAGTCCCAAGACGTATCTCCTACATCATGAACTGCTGAACTTCATGCTCATTGCCATGTCTACACAGCTTCTTTCTGGTCCATCACCCGGACCAAATGATGTTCACCCTTTCATTGATGCAGCAATGAGTGAGGTAACCACTAACAATGTCAATATATATAATGAGGGTATTTTGGTCTATCAATAAAAAAAGAAAGAATGGAATTAAAATCCTTCCACCCTACCCTATATACAGTGAAATCCTTCAAACATGGAATTTGAAGGATTCATATGGAACTGAATTTCCTCCATATAAGAATGCTAATCCTTTCTTTTCTCTTATCACCATATTTGCAGGATAGTTCTCTAGTAGGTTTGGTTGTTCACAAACTGCTACTTAATTACATCACACGCCCTCGATCCAAAAGTAGTTCATCTTATACCTTATTGTCTGAAGAAAATCAGCTTGGTGTTCTGAAAAGAGTTGGTTCAGCAGCTGGTAATAATATATAATCTTCCAAAGACTAATAATCTTTTTTTTCTCCCAATGTACATATATCTTGTATGTCTAAAAGAATGTTCTTTATACCTTATTTGCAGCAAATATAGTGCTATTACCACTTAGTTACTTTGTGAATTCAAGTGTGGAAGCTTCAAGAAGTCAACTAGCAGACAGCAGTATCAATATACTACTTATACTCATTCATTATCGTAAATGTATTCTTGTGGAATCTGTTAAGAACATCAATGCCAGTGTCACTTCTGAATCTCTTCTGAAAGATGAAACATATTTTGCTGAAAACCCGTATTGCAAAGCCCTGGAAAATGTTAAGGATGTTGAGTGTAAGAAATATATTGAAAGTACAATGTTCCCTTTTTATTTTCAAGTAACTGACATAGTCTATCACCACTCCATTGCAGTTGATAGAGTGGATATTGAGGGAAATGCACACAGTGGTCCACTTGTCAGATTGGCTTTTGCTTCTCTCTTTGATACACTTGGCATGTAAGACCTCATTTCACTTCAAAATTTTATTATAGCTATTGTGTTTTACATATTATTTATATAAGTGATTGATCTTTGCAGGTGTTTGGCTGATGAAACTGCTGTTTTGCTTCTGTATGGTTTGGTTCATGGGAATTCAGACTTTTTGGAATATGTGTTGGTGCGAACTGATATTGATACATTGGTATGAATCTATTATTACAAAAAGCAAAATACATTTAGTCTTGTTTGTTGTCTATCTTGTCTGAGATTCCTTTTTCAATTAAAATGACCAGTTAATGCCTTTGTTGGAGACACTCTATGATGCTTCAAGGAGAACATCAAATCAAATCTACATGGTGCTGATTATTCTGCTTATACTCAGTCAAGACGCTTCTTTTAATGCTAGCATCCATAAGCTGGTAAATTTGTTTTACTTTTATCAGATATAATATGGTTTTTTATTTACTTTAGTGTAGTCATAATCTTGTTAATTGAGGCAATTATCCTAATATATATATATTGACACTTTGTTTTTAGATTCTGCCTTCTGTTCCATGGTATCAAGAGAGGCTTCTTCATCAAACATCTCTTGGTTCTCTTATGGTCATCATTCTAATTAGGACAGTGAAGTATAACATGTCTAAGATGCGGGTAAGACAATATATATATATATATATATATATATATATATATATATATATATATATATATATAACAGAATCTAATTGCACTTATAATAATTATCATGTGTTACATAATGTTGGTATAGATGCAATAATATAGATATAGGTGCATGTATACGTGTGTGTTTATACTTTATATTGATTATATTTGAAGTAACTTTTTTATAAATTGGAACAGGATGTTTATCTACATACAAATTGCCTTGCAGCTTTAGCTAACATGGCGCCTCATGTGCATCGATTAAGTTCATATGCATCACAACGCCTTGTTAGCCTTTTTGATATGTTGTCACGCAAGTAAGCAGCATCTTCCGAATTATAGCATTGTACTTTGATTTTTTTTATTTTTATTTTGTAATCACTATTTTTCATGGGAATAATATACAGATATGCAAAATTAGCAGAGCTAAAGAACGATAAAATGCAGATAAATGATGGTGAACTCAAAGATGATGATAAACTTCCTGAAGATACGGTATTTAATCTGAACTACATGGTTAAATTGTTAATTATAGGCATAGCATACTACTTTTATTTCATTCTATTAAAAGCATTATACCTTTGAAAAGCTTTTCTTGTAAAGCATTGTACTTTGAAAAAGATGCTCAATTATAGCAGTGAAAATTGCTGTGTTATGTGTTTGAATGACATTGCTATAAAATAAATGGGTGAGATTTTTCAAAGTACAATTCTGTAATTAGAGCTATAATAGATAAAAAAAAAACTGAAAGTAGGTTGTTATTTGTTGCATTTAAGTTTTTTATCTTTATTCACCAGTCAGCAGAATTGCATATCTATACGGACTTCTTGAGGATTGTGTTGGAGATACTGAATGCAATCCTGACTTACGCACTTCCAAGGAACCCAGAGGTACAAACAGTATTGCCCAAAAAGACGTAAATGCCCTTTGAGATTCTTCTTGTCCTTGACTTTGTAATAAATTTGGCAGGTGATTTATGCAATTATGCACAGGCAGGAGGTTTTTCAACCTTTCCGGAATCATCCGCGCTTCAATGAGTTGCTGGAGAACATTTTTTCTGTATGCACCAAAAATACGATTCAAGATGTTACTTTAATCATAGTAAATAGATAAAAAATCATTGAATTGATGATGGTTGGTAGGTGTTGGACTTCTTCAATAGCCGAATGGATGCACAAAAGTTGGATGGTGAATGGTCAGTTGAGAAGGTGCTTCAAGTAATCAACACAAACTGCAGATTTTGGCGAGGAGATGGGATGAAGGTAATAATAAAAATCCTACCTTTTTTTTTTTTTTTTTTTTTTCTTGAGTTAACAATGTTATGTTGTAAATTCAGATGTTCACCCAATTACGCTTCACATATGAACAAGAAAGCCACCCAGAAGAATTCTTCATTCCATACGTCTGGCAGTTGCTAATCTCTCGCAGGTATATCTATAAATATCCATTTTTTTTTAATTCACTAAATTAATAAAAATACATAATTTGCACTTTATTTATTCTACTTTTTTAAAGTCGAGTTTGTTACATGTGCAGTGGTTTCAGGTTTAATCCCAGTAGCATAAACTTATTCCCGGTTGAGCTGCCTGTTGAGGTTTGTTTTATTGATTTATTGAAAATGCAATTGGATTGGTTTGATTTGGTGGTTAAAAAATAAATAAAGAAATGAAATGCAGGTTAGTTATGGAGCTGTGGATGGGAATACAGAAGAACAGATGCTGTTAAATGTGAAGGAGGCTGTGGAGTCGTCTGTTTAACACAACACATCCTTTTATGTACATATATGCATAGAGAAAAATAAACAACACATAAATAAATAAATAAAAGAATGTATACACATTGTGATTTTCTATTTCCAACACAAAGTTTTGAGTTTTGACAACCATATTATCGATATGATAGGAGTAGTTAATTGTTTTAGCCAAAACCATTATTGATTGAGGTGTTTGCTTATTCTATTATTTTTTATTGATCAAAAACTGTGTAAGCTTCATTTCATTTTGTTAGCTGCTGGGTGAGATATTAATGATGCTTGTCTTTGCACTTGCATAGTCCAAAATCAAAGTTTTTCCCTGTTTTTAGTCCCTGGTAAACTTGAAATGACATTTTTATCCTTTTAATTTCCTTTTTTTTTGTTAATTTAAAAATAAAAGAAAAATGAAAAAAAAGAAAAAAGAAAAAAGGGACCACCCAACCCCAATGCTCTCTCTCTCTCTCTCTCTCTCTCTCTCTCTCTCTCTCTCATTGGCATCCTTATCTCTTCCCCAATTTGCAAAAAAACCTTGAATCGGTAAAATTGCAAAAAAAACCCATCAATCTGAAAAGGGGTTTTATTCACCATTATGTCATCAGATATTGTTGATGAAGAGCTTGTAGTCTCCTCATCTTCCCCTATACTAACATTCCCAACTGATGAAGGTAAGATCACATGTTCCATTTCATATATTTTGATGAACGATGGTAGTGGTTTCAAGGTTTCAAGGTCAGAACAACATAAGGGATTTCAAGGCACGATTTTTGGATTTTCAAGGTTCGATTTCAGGGGTTTCAAGGTCTGATTTCAGAGAAAGTTGTAAGCCCAAAATCTAGATGATAAACACACATATGATGAACACACACATCTTTTAATCGAACTGGGTTTTGATGATGAAACCAAATTTTGTTTTCCATGGAGATAATCGAACTGGGTTTTGAAGAAGATGATGATGAATTTCTGGGATTCAAGCTGATGAATATATGAAGAACAATATATATTTTTTTATGAAGAACATCGATGAACATACCAAATTTTTGATATCTGATTTGAAATGATAAACTGAAAATAGAGGTTGTGTCTTTGTTTACTCCGATGATTTGAAAAATATAGATTTGTAATGTTTCAAAACACACACACAACAAATGAATCACAAATGATTCTCAATGAAATGTGTTTCTGTGCTCCCTTCTCTTCTGTTGATGCTGAAAAACGATCCAACCGGAGAAGAAGACCAGATCCTCCCTCCTCCACCAAGCTCCATTTCACATCTTGTGACATCCTCAAATTCACAGTCATTTTAAAAATTTGATTTATGCTTATGTAAAAAATCAAAGTATCTTTTTGAAGAATAATAATGCGAAATTTGTTCCCAGAAAACGTGATAATGATATTATCAAAGCATTTCCAAAGAAATGTATTTTATATTAAAACGTTGGGATGTCATTGTCAATACAGAAACATAAGCATAAACAGACCTTACATTAATTTACACTAATGATCTACATCTTCTTTAATATTTTAGTATAATGTATCTTCGCATCGAACCCTTTGATACAAATAAACTGAGTGAGTCAGGTTGTGAAACCTGGTGAGTACATAGAGTTTTCAACCCACAATAATATATTTAATTTGTTTCTTCACATATTTCATCTCAAACAATTAACCCGATTACCCATCCCAATTTTTCTTTATTTATTCTTCCCTAAAGATTTATCCTAAGGGTAATCTCCTGCATCGTATTTACCTCTCATCGCCTTACATCACATTTCCTTATATGTTTGTTCCTAAGGACTTTTCCTAAGGATCATCACCTACATCACATAGACAGTATTGATTCGGGGATTACTTCCCCAATACGTGTCCAGTAAGGGTTAGAGTATCATCGCATGAATACGTAGTTACAACATCGCCTGAACTCGTAATTCATCACCTACAGGTTATGAGCCAGCCGATGTTTCCACATAGCTTGTTTAGATTAGTCAGTGGTCGCCGTCTATACTCTAGTAGATGACTACATCGCAACATCGCAGGTCAAGGTTATGGCATCTCCTAATCATCTCTCATCTCGCATCTCGCATCACCTATCTATCATCGCATATCTATATTCACCTAGTTATCATCACCTTTCTATCATCACGTAACTCTCATCACCCGTCGCTACCCAATACATATTCATAAGTATATAATACTTATATGATTTAATTCAGTTAAACATCATCTCATTATATCTTATCTAACACATAATATTCTTGGCATAGATAATAAACACATAAGCATGTAATTATCCAGATACTTCATATCTATGTGTAAGATGAAAGTAACTATGCACTTACTTGTTAAAGTGACGACTCAATTCGGGCAGCGCTTCGCTTCTAACAATCGTCTTTTTCTTTCGATGAAACCTAGCATTATTATCACTAGATTTTAGTCTAGTATTTATTACGACTAATTATTAACTCAAGGTCTACAAGCTATATTGTTTTTCTTGTATTATATAAGTGTTAAACAATACTTTTCAACTACTATGTACAGACAGGGGCCATACATGAAACACCGGAGGGCAGAACCATTTTGGCATTAAAGCTGTTCTGAAATCCAACAACCCTATGCGGCCCTTCAAACCAGATTCTCCGTACTGCGAGCAGTTAAAAGGTATTATAATAACACTTTGTATTGTAACATCCCGAAAATCATGACCAAAATTTTTGTTTTTAATTAAGTAATTTATAAAACCGTTTACTGAAAAACATCATCGATATCATATCAACCCATAACTCATAAGTCAAATGTCATAAAAACATGTCATGGAGTAATAATAATGTCAGAGTACAATCCTAAGAACATCATAGTGCGAAAATCATGTGTGTGTGCGATGCACTGCTACCGTGCCGACTCTTTCCCCTTCGATGAAGAGGTACCTAAAAACAAAACTGTAAACTGTAAGCACGAAGCTTAGTGAGTTCCCCCATCATACCGCATACCATACATAAGATATACTGCCAGGCATATCTGGGTGCCCGACCTACCCTGATAGGCATACCGGGGTGCCTAACCTACCCCTGTCGGACATACCGGGGTGTCCGACCTACCCCTCCGTTTTATCTCAACCGGTTACGGGGACTATTTCACCCATACTACTATAATAATATAACGTAATCATACTGTCAGGCATACTGGGGTGCCTAACCTACCCCTTCGGTCCTTACAACCGTAACATTGGGACTATTCCCCCTACTACCACTATCACCTAATATTGTATCATACTAGCATATAGAACATATCAGATAGTGGTAAAACCCAAGTAATTATCACAAAGACAACTACTTGCCAAACAATCCCTACTAGTGGGCCGGCATTGTGGCCGTAGACCTACTTCTACCGGAAGGTAACTCACCTCAATGTCGTGAAGTGTCTGAACTGTCCTCGGTGCGGGAATCAGCTCCTCTCAACTCCTACACATAACAACCTTTCTTATTTACCATTTCATACTCTTAACCCTTTCAAGGGTCAACTCAGGTCAAAGTTAAAGTCAATGTCAACACTGTGGTCAAAGTCAACATCCTGGTTGAATCAACTCGCCGAGTTAATCCATCAACTCGTCGAGTTCCATAATTCAGAGAAACTCGAATTTGCGATCGGACTCGTCGAGTTACCCTCTAACTCGTCGAGTTTCTCCTTATGACAGAATCAGGACTTTCCACTTGAACTCGTTGAGTCCTTCCTTGGACTCGTCGAGTTCTCATTCATACAGATCGGAACATTTGCTCATTGACTCGCCGAGTTCATCCTTGAACTCTTCGAGTCCTGCTTTATATTAGTTGGGACATTGTCTTGAACTCGCCGAGTTCATCCTTGAACTCGTCGAGTCCTTTGATCTTTAAGTCCATATTCACGTCCACCTTGTTGAGTCCTCTTCTAGACTTAACCAGATCGATCAGGAACAGAAAAGGTTGGGGAACCATAACCCGACTCGTCGAGTCCTATGAGCGACTCGCCGAGTCCCCCAAAGTCCAAGTCTACCAAGTCGATTTCAGTCAGGTTTAATGTATCCAAAACATAGATCTGACCTCCTAGGATCGATATAGCACGTAAAGTTACAAACTTTGCGTGCATGCATGGGTTAACTAGCTCATAAGGACCTAAAATGAAGTCTACAAGGTGCATGGGACTCCCATGGCCATAAAGTTGGCACCTTTATGTCATGGGAACCCTTAAAGGTTCAAGATCTGAAGTACAACTCCATGGATGCTCACAATCTCGAGTATGGCTTCACTAACACTTAGAAAAGCTAGAAAATAGCTCTAAATGAAGATCTAAGAAATAAATAGTCAAGGTATCAGCTTTATACCTCAAATGAGCTGGAAATGTGTCAAAACCTCTGGATCTACTAGCTTTTTCTTGATCTCCCAAGCCTCCTCCTTCTTTTCAAGCTTCAAAGACACACAAATGGCACAAAAGGCTCAAGAACACTCAATATTCGATTAGGGTTTCGTGAAAAGAGTCTGAGGGTGATGGAGGCTGGAGTGGAGGCCCTATAAGTTGTTTAAATAGGGTGCAAACCCACAAATTTAGGGTTTCATCCAGACAGGTCTACTCGTCGATTCGGGGCTTCCGACTCGGCGAGTAGACTCTTCCACCCACGTCCAATCCTTCGCATCTACTCGACGAGCTGGGCCTAGGTGGATTGCACCTGATGCTACATCGACTGGGAAGGAGAACGAAGCATTTCCTTATAAGGGGTGTGGATACCTTCCCTGTCACAACACGTTTTAAAGCCATGAGGGCAGCAGATCCCATAAGAACTCTGCAGTTAAGCGTGCTCGGGCTAGAACAATCCAGGGATGGGTGACCCCCTGGGAAGTTTTCGTGCCGGGAGCCCAAAGCGGACAATATTATGATACGTGCCAGAGGGGGATGTTACAAATGGCATCAGAGCTAGGGCACAGGTCGATCTGTTCGACAGGGACGTCGAACCCTATAATGGGGGGTGAAGGTGGGTTGCACCTGATCCCACATTGGTTGGGAAGGAGAACGAAGCATTTCCTTATAAGGGGTGTGGATACCTTCCCTGTCACAACAAATTTTAAAGTCGTGAGGGCAGTAGATCCCATAAGAACTCTGAAGTTAAGTGTGCTCGGGCGAGAACAATCCAGGGATGGGTGACCCCCTAGGAAGTTTTCGTGTCGGGAGC